ACGCTGAGCTCCCTAGGACTAGGAATCCATTCTGACTCAGAGGGAAGATCGCCCCTTGCTGAAACACCAGCACTCCATGTTTAATCTCTGGGGTCTTCCATCTGGGGAATGGCCATGTCTTACTTGAGGGAGTCTTAGGGTTGGCAAGCTTTGATCCCCGCTTCCTCAGCATCCAAGCAGAACGAGCACTAAGGAACAGCAACAACATTTAGCTCTTACCGCATGGAGTATTTTGCAAGCAGGGATCTCAAAACATTTTGCAAAGGAGGGGAAGTATCCTTATTTCCATTTTGCAGACAGGAACACTGAGTCACAGAGAGATGAAGAGGTGTGTACAGGGTCACCCAGCGGCTCAGAGCTGTGAACAGAACCGAGGGGGTAGATTCTCTTCTCTACCAAGACCTGCTTGACAGTGTGGGCAGGTGAGCTCAATCAGGAAACAGATTATGGCTTCCTGAGCCTCAGCCAGCCCCGTCCTCAGTGTAAATTAGAGCAGCCTAAAGGTTGCTCTAATTTAGGACAGTTGGCTGTGGTACTCCCAGGATGATATGCCTGCTGTGGATAACAGTAACGTAACTCCACCCTTGCCCCTGCCCCTTCACCGAGGTGGGGGTGGTAGATGGTTTATGGAGCCAGCTCTGCCCGCTTTACACCAAATGTGAATTCCTGTCAGGGCCAGGCCGGGGGTACTGGTCAGTTGCTAAGTTGTGGTCAGAAAATGAGTAGTGGGGTCAGCGTCGAGGTAGGTCAGGATATCAGGAAGTTGGGGGTCAGGCACCAAGTTGAAGGCGGCAGGTGAATGGAAGAGTCAGGATATCAGGAAGTTGGGTCAGGTGCCAGGTTACAGACAGCAAGCAAATAGCAAAGTTGAGACCAACCCAGGCTCGGAAGCTGGAGTTTAGGGTCTACAGCAAGCAGGGTCTGGAGTGGAAGCAGGCAGGCAGTCTGCTTGGTTGCTCAGACAGCTCCCCATGATGGCTTCCTGGTTTAAAAACTAGGAACAGCCAACCAGTGAGCTGGGAGGGGCCACCATTCAGATCCTGCTGGGCAGGACTTCCTGCAGAACCCAGTTTCATGAGGTCCTCAAGGGGAAACCCAACCTAAGCAACCAGTGGCGATGCGGATGAGTCGGTGGCTCAGAACTCCCAGGTTCCAGTCCAGCAGCGTCTTACAATTTCCTGCGTTTAGGGGAATTCTCAACTTGCAGTCGTGGCCAGATTGCAGCTCAAAGGGTCCAGAAAAAGGGCAGTGAATCTAACCCATTGTCTCCTGACTCCCAGTTCAGTGCACTATCCATGGAATCACGCTGCCTCTAAGTATCAAGTCAATTGTTCACAAGATCCTCCAGCATCGTCCCATTGCACCAGAAATGTCTCACCAATCACCAAACCAAGTCTCTTCACCTGACCTGAATCCCAACTCTGGTCTGTATAAGATTGTGATCGCTGGGGGAGAGGGAAGGTGTCTACAGGAATGGTTAACTGTAAGTAGATAGGTCAGACTACCACTGGGATGTGGTTTCACTCAGGAGGTAGCAGGCATTTGCCTTGTCTCATGCTTAGCTTTGTGGCTCAACATCGTACAGTAGAGGATTAAAACAAAACCAAAAAGCCCTTAACTTCTCTTTTCCTTTCAGGCTGGAAGACAGGAACTGACTAATCAACCTAATCCTACACCTGGCATCCAGTCAGATCTTTATTTCCACTTGCAATTCCTCCAACTCACTTCCGAGCTCATGGACGCAAGCTGCCGAGGCGTTTCCTGTTCAAGGTGGTTCTTTAGCATGAAAGCCAACCGAGCCAGCCAGCCAGCGTGGGCTGAACGTAGGTGGAGGGAAATGATTCCGGAACTGCTCCCAGCAAATGGAATAATGATTCCAAATTAAGCAGGGTTCCAAAGTGCTGCACCCAGCCCTGAGTGGAAACAAGGCTGATTGGACTAAACTTTATGAGTGAAACTAACACAGGGAATCTTTCCAAAGTTAGACCCTTTGTTATAATGAGTGCAGAGTCCTTGTGCCTTATTAAAGCTACAGTGCCTGGAATTTGATTTCCCAATTATTGTCTTGTATATCTTGTTGGAGACTCGCTGTTGCTATCCTTGGGCTTAGATTAACAAGGCACTGCATATTTCTTCCTCTCTGATCACTGACATTGGAAACAGACAGCTTTGGAAGACACAATAAGATCCTCCTGGCTACTGAACATGAGCTACAGAGCTGAAAAAATATTGGGAAACTTCAGTGTAGCAAGAGCATCATCATGCACTGCAGCTGGGAAAAAACTCTCTTGGCCCTTTATTTAAAGGCACAGACATTTTAACCACTCTGCAAAACTGGACTGCAAGTATTGTGGGAAGATCCCGGTCTCAAGGTGTCTCAGCACTCCTGCTCCAAGTGCGGTAGGCCGGAGATGTGCAAAAATAGAAAATATATAGGGAAGAGCTGCTTGGATCTTTATGAATCTCAAAACTGGATTGGTTCAAGTGTTGGAGGAAGATCTCTGGGAAGGAACCAGTCTCGTTTTATCTGAACTGTATTTCTTACCTTCAGATAAGGTAGATGCATGCAGGGGCAAAATGTACTCTCAGTCATAGCCAAACCTGTTGGTGTAGCACTTCTTGAGGTTACATCTGTGCAAGTGAGCAGGGTTACAGCATTGTAACTGAGGACCGACTTTAGCCCTAAATATTCAGGGCAAGCTTCTCAGATCTAGAACTCCAGCTGATAAAACTAAAACCCCCTGATCAACACTCTATATGAATCCCATGGAAACAAACAAACAAGACGGGCTTCCAAAAGCAGAATATTTGCAAAGCTCGAGGAAACACTGGCTCTTATTGTTCCACCAGTGGCTTGATATGTCAAACATCTTATGTGTAGGCGTAATCTTCTTCCAGAAAACTGGCTGCCGCCTTAGCAGAAATAACAGCAACAGTGACACATGCTTCCTACAAAGGGCTGGTGCCACAAATGCCGGTTTTATAATACAAGGCACAGCCCACCTCAGAGTTGAATGGCAGGGGGTGTTTTCTTCTTAATTGCATTTTAGCTTTATTCATCATGTGGTATGTACTCAAGAAGATAGACAGGGCAGATGACAGCCAGGGAGAAGCACTCTTGCTGAATGTTCCTTGCCAATTCTGGTGTCATCCCAAAACACAGGAAAATAGCAGAACTAGTGCAAAACTCCTAAGACACAATCAGCCTGCGAAAGCTTTCTGCAGCATCCTGTATCCTGATATTTGCAACTAATTGGAATCTAAGAAAAAGAGTTATGATGAAGGAGCACATGGGAGTCAGGAGACCTGGGTTCTATTTGCAGCTCTGCCACTGACTCACTTTTTGGCCGTGGCAAGAGTCACATCACCTCTGTGTGCCTCAGTTCCACCATCTGTAAAAAAGAGGGGGTCAAATGCTCATTCTCCTATTGGAGTTACTGCCATTCTCTATTATTTGTTCTGGTAGCACCCACCACCGGAGAGGGCACAGTCCCTGTGCCGAAGAAGATTGGAAGAGACGGAACAGGCGGATGGGACAACATCTAAGTAAGGTGGTAAAACACTGAGCGGTCGGAGTGAGAACCACATAACCATTAATCCCAGTTTGCCCCAAATGGGAATACTCTGGTGAGGAAAGACTGCAGGACATGGCCCTAATAGAAGCACTCAGTTTTTGTGCTGAGGGGTGCCAGATAAACTGATGAGCAAATAGACAGAAAATAAAGGATTCAGGGGGCGTAAATGCTTATCGATAGCAACAAAAATCCGGAGGCGAACCTGCTCGGAATTTTAAACCACAAAGGTTCAACAAACATCAGAGACTGCTTCGATTGTTCTCTTCTCCTGCCTTAACGGGACATGGAACTGTGGCACAGCATAGAACAGTTAAAAGCTCAGCTCAGCTTGTTACCTTGCTTGCAACAGTGTTTCTATGTGGCCATGCATCTATCTACATGTTTGGATGAGAGGAAGGATGGTCCGGTGATTAGGGTGCTAACCAGGGAATTTCGATTAAATTCCCTACTCTGCCACGTCGTCTTTCTGTTCCTCAGTTCTCCGTCTGTGCAATGGGGATTGCAACACTTCCTTACCTCACAGGGGTGTTCTGAGGATAAATTCATTAAAGTTGGTGATACAAGGATGATACTATGAGGATGGGGCCATACATGTACCATTGTAGATGTAGCTTGCTATAATTTACAAGGACACTACACAGCCATAACTGTAGGGGTTAATCATTTTATAATAAATTTGCTGACCCTGTAATAGACCAAACTACAATATCCGGGGCTCCCCCAGGGCCAGATCCTCCTTTCCCTTCCACAGGTGCAATGCCACTGACTTCAGCGGGACGGCAGGGGTGTAAACAAGGGGAGGACTAAGCTCATTATTTAAGTTGGCTGCCTCACAGAAATTCAGAGTAAATAACATACGCACTGGATCGATGGCTGCAGCCAGCCCACCTCAGGCTGTGAGCTCATTACAGGCTAAGCAGGGCTGGGTCTTGGATGTAAAGCAAAATGACAACCTAGTACTGCAGGAAGTGGCCCGGGCAGCATGGTAAGTGTGTTGGGAGAAGTCAACTGCATTGTCCTGCCTCACTCCTAGTTTGAACTGGGTGCTATGCTCTTCCTATCCAAATGGCGGCTGTTTCATCTGAACACCACATTCTTCCTTACTCCTCCCCCTAAACTGTTGCACAGTGTTGTTGTGTGCTATTAGACAGCTCCTCTGTTCCACCCCAGAGCAAAGTGCACGTCAGGGACTCGTCTACGCATGTAAAAATGCTCTGGGATTCCTTCGGGGTGAATAGCACCCTACTAGCTGTCCGATATTAACACGCTGAGCAAACCGCCACAGAAAGGGTGAGACATCGCAATAAGAAAGAAACGTTAGCAGCCAATTCCTGCAAACGATGAACCTGCGGCCTAACTACTCCTATCGATCATTTAGACAAAAGCATACACTGAGTTTAGAATCAAAGCATTTTTCTTTTTTACCCAGAAAACTGTGGGCAGGTTTATCCTCCACCACTCGGATCCGTCGAGCACCCGCAGGGATCACAGCTGCTTCAATATAACCTAGGGCAACAAAAGGTCACATGGATGAGTGTCTCCCACAACCAGCCAGAGGCATTGTGTAATTTAGTATCATCCCCCAAAAAATCAACTCCGCTCCAGCTTTTGTAATGGTTGGGAAACACTTGAAAGGTAGTAGCTGTTTTGGCAGCCAGGTTTCAATGCGGTGACTTGCGTAGCAAGGGCGAATCATTACAGCTTGAGGAGAGGGGGAAATGCGTGTACACATCCTTAATTGCAACTCTTCTGGCTTGTGGTTGGTTCTATTAAATCTGTTCCCGTGCATCATTTTTGTTCATGTGTGGCATCTACCGGAATACGCTAGGATCCTACTGGAAGCTGAAGCAAAGGTGGGCTTGCCAGTAGTTACAATGCACATCATAGGAACAGAAGTGTCAGTGCTTCGAAATGAACACATTTGTGTTAGCTGTTATGAAAACGCTTTCTTTGGGATATAACCTGCATTATCATTCATATTTTTAAGGAAAAGAATGAGCTATTTGGGAGACTGCTAAACTAAAACATTGCAGGAGTCAATGATGAAAACTGGTATAAATCTATTTGCTTTCACTGGCATGTCAGTCCCTATGAAACAGTCCTATATAATTTAATAGACTACAATCTCCTTCCTTTAGAACTTTTAAACCAAGCTGCAGAATTCTACAACCAGGATTTAATTCTACAGGATAGTTAAAAAAAATACATCTGTAGGACTGATCTCCTTCAAATGATACTGGTAAGTTACATGTGGTTTATTTATTGCTTTTAAAACCCCCTCAAAAATGTTATGGTTCAATTCAGAGATGGACAAAAACCAAAACCTTAAGACACGGGCACTCTTGACCTTTGGAGTCATTCGTGTGTGGGTTCTGCTCCAAACTTCGAGGCTCAGCCCTAGCTTTAGTCTAAGAGATAGGCAAAAAGCAAACTACCTAGTAACACCTGTGTCAAATCTTGGAAACCATCGTGACTAGGATTTGATTCTTTTTAATTGGCCAGACGGTTTATTTTTCGGTGTGTAACTTGGCTCCTCCCCCTTCCCACCTTTTCTTTTAAAACACTTAATAGTTTATTCTGTATGCTTTATCTTCCCTTTTTTGTTACATGTGCTAAGTGATATGGCCCTATACCAGACCTGCCCCTATAGAAATAGGATGATGCTGGAGAATCACTAGTGTCAGAGTAGTGTTTGGGACTATTCCTTTAGAATTCAGCAGTACTTTGGTTTTTTTAAAGGTAAATGCCGTGGTTCTGCTTTGACTGAGAGCAAGGGAGAGGGAGTGACACACTGCAGAACAAAGGGCCTCTCTCTGTGTGGCTGCATTGACTGTGGAGGCGGTACCCTGGGACGTGGCCTGGATGTGGCTAGTGAATCCATCATTATATAGATCCCACACACCTAACCCCTGCCTGAAAGCCTTTCACTTATGGGTTCACACAGGGGCCTCAGCCCATGGGATTAGCCTACCACAGTCGTGTCAATGAAGCAGCTGCATAGCCACCAGATTAATGGGACACATGGATTCCTTCCCACTCCCAACCCCTTTTAGATCACCTGTACAAAACATTCTCACTGGGGTGTTGGTGTTGGGTTGGGAGATGATTTGACCAATGACAACCATCTCTCTCCTTAGCCTCTCATCTTTTTAAGGTAGCCCCTATTGTTCTGGTACATTACACTAATTTGTATTGCCATTTTACCACCTCTCCTCGCTCCCCTCAGCTCAGGTCCTTTTCCTTTTGCCCCCCACCCAGGAGCATCATCTCTCTTGTTTTCTTCTCCCCTGCTCGGGTTACTTCCAAAAGCCAGTCAATCATCCTTTGCAGGGAGAATCAAAATAAAGGGAAAACAGGATTCTGAACAAAGAACCTCCCCTCATGTCAGGCTGATGAATTCCCCATTCTGCTAATTACAAAGCATGCTCCATCAGTAATACTCACTACTTCAGGGTTTGGCTTTTATGGCAATTGTGAAATCTATAAAAATCAAAGAAAACAGATGTCGGACATTAGCCTGGATCCTACTGGGAGTTGGTTTTTTGTTGGTTGAGATAAATTACATTAAGAGCAGCACATTCTAAAATGCCAAACATCCCTTGTTGCACCCCATGCATCTGCATTCAAACCCAACCAACTATGACGATCAGACATGAACATACAGCAGAGGGATTAATGAAAAATACGTCACTGTAAATGGACCCTAGAAACACACCTGGCCACCATGTTAGGAAGCCACTTTGGAACATGCCCAAGTATCACGTATTTGTTGATGTATTTACTGTGGATGATGATGATGATTTTTTAAATCAAAGGCTCAGAACTACCTTCTGCCATGACCAGATCCAAAAAATCATTGAAGTTAATGGAAAGGCTCTCATTGATTTCACTGGGCTTCAGAGCAGACCCCTGAGGCAGTGGTATCCTGGCCTGCGTCCTGCTGTTTTTGCAGTGCGAGAGGCATGGCGTTACTCTTGAGGTTCTGCTAGTGCCACAAATATGCTCTCATTTCACCACTGCGGTGCGAGAAAATACCGTGTGTAAACGCTGCCTTGTACATTACTTTTGAAATGTTAAATAGCGGAGTTTAAGATATTAACAGGGTATTAGTTCTGGAGACTATTTAGTTTGGTCTGATACCAGATTTTTCTCCTCATGTAATTTCTAATCCTGACTGATGGCACCAGGGGTTGTATTCACAGCTCCTGAATAAAAACAAAACAAAAAACCACCTTACTGTACTCGCTCTCTGAGATTGGGTGACACAGAACCAACTATTAACATTTTGTTTTCTTTAGGGAACCAAGTAGTGCCAGTCTATGCTTGTGTAGTTTTGAAATGTTCTTTCAGGGGACAGAGTAGGTTCCTTGGGCATGTCCCATAGAAAGCCTCTGTAGCTCTTAGCCAGCAATACTGTGTAAATCAGTGGTCAAAATCCTACTGCAAATGCATTAAATACACCATACATGCAAACTCACCATAAATATAAACTCAGATTGCTCCCAGCTGGGCTTTAGAGCTAGTGACATGCTGTTGCTCAAGGGATTATAATCCCAATATTGGAGAATGTTGCCCCATAGTTTTCGAGGCATGTTTTCTATCACAAATTGTAAACTGCAGATTCCCAGAAAGATTATCAAGCATGAGATATTAAGCCAATGTTGGTCCAGAGTCAAAAGACTGTCAAAGATTTGTTAGGTAACTTGGGGGTAACTGTTTGCAATGCTGGGGTCTGCACGGTTGAGTTAAAATTCTGTTTAGGTGAGGAGCTGCTTAAAGACTGATGAGATCTGACAACAATCAGGCAGTGGTTCTAGTTATTCCATCCAAAAGTCAGACTTTTAAGATAAAGGTTGGAAAGTAGAACTGGAGAATTTCATGATTTCGTCATTTCTAGAGCTGTATGTACTGTACTCCACCTCAGGAACAGCTATTTTGGCATGCAACAATCTTTCTGGATAATCTGTGTTACATCAGTGTCCCAGGAACGTAAGGCTGTGATTGAAGTGAGTCCTAGATACAGGTTCTGTGGTGAACTTGTATTAGGAGAGATACCAGAACGAAGAGGCGGCTTGGTCATCAAGCAGATTAATACATGTATGGTGGCTACTGTAGCTTCACTTAAACACTGGAGAGATTTGCAAGAGGAAAGCAGGCTCAAACAGGAGAACCCACTGTGAGGCAGGGTTATTAGTCCCAGAGAGGAGAGAGGTTAGCACGAATTTCAACGTGGAACTGAATTACTACAAAAGTGGTTTGGATGTTACTGGAAGACGAACTCTCGGGTAGAGGAGATGTTACCCCATGGCTGCAAGTGCTGATCTCTATGCAATGTACCTTTGTATCTTCCTACTAGGGGTGTATCACAGTATGGGTAGAACAAAACCCACCCCCCTGCACGATCCCAACTTTTGGATTATGTCCTGCTGCAAGGTCCCAAGCTGAGAGCTGTAAAGACTGGACTCCTCTAGTTATCTGCTGAACATGTACCGCACAGACATCCCCATTGTCCTGGGGTGGCAAGGGCAGTCTCCATAGCTCTTTCAGTCCTTGCTCCCATTGCCAAGAGTGCCAATCAGTACCTACTGTGGGGGTGCTTTGGAAACGTATCCATTAGACGCTGCACTGAGACTTAAGAGCTCGTTTTTTGAGCAGTCAGAAGATGCTCATGACTTGACCTCACCATCGGTCGGGGCTGAATTCCATCTGTTGGCTTACAGGTGACAACCTCCGCACCCTCATTACTGATCCTCTCTGTATTCCACTGTCCCTCTACCTAGATTTTGTACGGTATGTAATTCTTGTTGCTGATCAGAAAATAAAAGACAATTGACTAGTTTATCTTCTTGCGTGCATGAGAATCCTGGTGATTACCAATTGCAGGCACCTACCCACACAGCACCTACCCACCACTGTTTACTTCCAGCCATGGAGTAGCTAGCCTGGAGGAAAATCATTTCATCGTGAAGCCATGGACAGATTTCAAAGCCTCCTGATATTGCTATCGAGTGTCAATTTGGTGGTAATGATTCCTATAAAGGACAGCCGGCTGGTAAGTCACCCACTGCCCTGTGTTTCTGTCTGCCTCTCATCACCTGCCCATTTATCCTATTAACAGAATTTTCTTGCATGTGCTGAGAGAAGAACATTCCCAGGCTTAAAGCACCATCTCTCAATTTCCTTTTTATTTTAAATGCACTACTGTCAAGGTTAAAATTCTGCATAAAGTGTTTGATTTCTTCACCATAGTAAAAACAGAAACTGCTCATGAAGAAAAGTTATTGTTATAGCAATTTGCCTAGTTCATTTAATTATTTACTGGAGTACGGACTTAAAACGTAAGCCAAACAACTGCAGCGTCTCTTTTGGGTCACAAGACAGAGGGCATCCATTCAAATCTTCCCATGGCCAGGGAAGAGCAATATAGATGCACACATGAAAAAATGACTCATGTGGCAGGTCTCTAAGCGTTATCTGTACGGCATTGGAGTCTGGATGGGAATCTTACAAGGAGGAAGGGAAGGGCCAGACCACTAGCCGGTGTAAATCAGTATAGCTCCATTGGCTCCCAGTTTACATTACTGAGGATCTGGCGTAAGTGCAGAACATGATTCTGAACACAATTTGGGGATGATGTCAGAAGGTCAGAGATGAATTTTAACACAAAATTTGTGGGGGGGGGGTTTGGGTGTGTGTGTGGGGGGGATTTAGTTCCCAGAAAACAGAAGGACCAACAGGCATAGTAGTGGGACAGGTATCCAGTGTGCAGAACCTCTGAAAACTCGGTGGCACTACAGAGATGGGCTGGAAGAGAAGAAACAGGGGCAGGACTTGATAATGGGCTGACAAACATGGTCTTCTGGTGGCTAGGCAGCTCCTTTCAAAGGCCAAGGACCCACGTGCTGTCTCTCCAATTCAGGCTAGTCATGCTGAATGTAGAAGGCTTTAAAGGGTATCCATGGCTTTTTATACGATGCAGTCTCCCCACCCAATCCAACCAGGAGGAGGAGGACAGAAAACCAACACCCAACAACAGCTACCCAATGACACCACACACAGCATTCAGGCATCTTACACGAGAAACACTTGGGAACAGCCTTTGCCTTTGCCATCACACACGTGGAAACCTTCTTACAATGACTATTGGTTACTGAGAAACAGAAAGGAGTTGGCATGGGTTTAGTCCAGTTAATAGAGCTCGACAGCATGTTTGCAATCACAGGACATACAGGGACCGATCCTGCAGTCAGTGGAGTCCCACGTGCACAGCAGCTGCAGGATCTGGCCCAAACGTTGTAGGTGCAATTCTCAAACTGATACTTCTTAACAACCAACGTCTTGACATTTCACAGCTATTCTCTTCTGAAATCATAAATCAACACACTTAACACAGGGGCTTTGGGCTTGACCCTAATCAAAGCAAGTCAATGGGAGATCTGCCCCTCTCTTCGGGAATGATTTCACTATCCAGGCCCTGATTCTGCTATCGGGACTCATGCTGCTTAGTCACATTAGGGTTCAAATTTAGGCTTTGTAAAATCTTGGATTTTAAACATCATTAAAACGCTGATTTTTTAAGAAAATCCACAGATATTTTCTTAAACAAATACATGTTTCCTTGTGGTGTTTGCAACCTGAACACTTTGTGCCAGTGGATGAGACACAGAACGTGAAACTGACTAAGGTCCTGGTCCCGCAAAACACATATGCACATGAAAAGTCCCATTGAACACCACAGATTAACTCACAGGGCATAACATGTAAGCGGAATCGGGGTCTGGACCCATAAGTGAAACCAACATGTCTAATTTCACTGTCTATGCTGAGAGAAGTGTAAAAGCAGAGAGAATAAATAGCAAAACTATTTCGGGTTATTTTTCACACAGTGTTTTAATCTACTATTTTTCAGAAAAAAAACTGTAGCTAGTCTATGTGTCAGGACATAGTATAAAGGCTGGAAAAATCCTTATTTATACAACTATGTAAGATGGGCAAATGAAGTATTTTGAATGGTGAAGCAACATTTTAGATAGGATCGATGTGTCTCTCTCTCTCATCTGGCTCCAGATATTCAGTAAAGAATGAGGGTGCAATAAAGGCTTGTACATTATAATATTAACGCTCAACATACCATCTGGGTACTGTCGTATCTGCCCTGTCTCTAGAGATGGGGGGAACCCCTGCTGTACTCATCTGGTTGACAATCAGCAGAGAATGTTCAGTCCCTACAGATCTGCCATGGGGAAAGGTCACTGAATGTATTGAGAGCAGCCCACCTAACTGAAAACAGGCGTATACCACTTTTAAATTCTGGCAGGGACCCAGAAGGTTGTCATCTATCTGGGTCAAGTCTTTTTGTTTCATGGTGATTTTGATCCGTAAATAACAAAGATAGGTTTCCCTTCAAAAACATCTACGAGATACACTTATTTCCAGCTAGCACTGCTACTACAGAAATGGAGAATGTTTTTCCCAACTAAAATGACCAGGGCGCAATTCCCATTTCCTGCAGGAGACATTAGAGAAGCAGTGAAACTGTAAACTAGGCATACATTTGTTGATATTCAGATCGGGAACTGCTGTAGAAGATGGAGCAGTGGTTTCACCACTGGCATCAGCTATAGATTTAGCCCTGGTCTACACTGGGGGGGAGGGGAGGGGAGAGGGAATCGATCTAAGTTATGCAACTTCAGCTACGTGAATAACGTAGCTGAAGCCGACGTACTTAGATCGACTTACAGTGGTATCTTCACCGCGGTGAGTCGACTGCTGCCGCTCCCCCGTCGACTCTGCCTGTGCCTCTTGCCGAGCTGGAGTACAGGAGTTGACGGGAGAGTGCTTGGGGGTCGATTTATCTCGTCTAGACTAGACGCAATAAATTGATCCCCGCCGGATCAATCACAGCCCGCCGATCCGGTGGGTAGTGAAAACATCCCTTAGCAATGTAACATACATTTCCAACACAGACATAGGAGGTATGGCACAATTATACCACCAATGCTGTTCCTTTTTAACGGCAGAAGTCGCGTGCAATATTTTGTGACATGCTCTCAGAGCCCTATTCTCAAAGCACAAGTGCATGCCAACAGAGTTAACCAAGGCAAATCTTTTCCTTAGTCTTGCACAGCCAAGATACAAACTTCTCACTACCAACAGCTGGAAGCTAAACGGAACACAACAGTCAGAGCAGTAAAAACTGCAAGCCGGAAATCATACGACAGATCGGCCTGACAATGGAAGTGCACAAATGAACTCCAGAAAGTATTACTGAAGTTTGCCAATTCCACCTACACCTCAGATGTGGTGGTAGATCTTAGCTGCCTTCACAGATAAAGTATGGGAAGGAGGTAGTAGAAATTAGAAAAGAGAATCAGAGCACCAGCTTTGAAGCCCTGATTTAGCAAAGCAGTAGAGCACACACTTAACTTTAATAATGAATTCAATGGAACTCAAGCATGTGCTCCAAGGACATCTTTAACTGCTTTGCTCAACTGAGTCCCAAAACAGCACATGTTGAATGTGCTTTGCTTTTGCTTCCCTACATGCGGAGATGGCAACATTCATTTAAATATCGGTCGTTTTGCCTTAATATTTCCTCCCTCCTGCAGTGGGTCCTAAGTCTAAATTTCCCCCGCACTTTGCTTGACCAGGATGAACGGCAACAGGTCTCATAAGTGTGGAACAGTGACTAAGGAAGAAGGGCTAATTCACACACAATGGGCGTGCAAAACCAGAGAGGACCGCTTGAGCTTGACTGAAAACAGTCTTATTCCGAGGCTTCTATGTTGCTGGCGTGAAGTCAATATAAATACTCAGAGAGTAGGGTGCCCTGGTTTAGCTGAAGCGGAGATATCCTTAGCATTACATGAATCATCCGGGACGTACACAGGAGCTCTCAGTCTAAATGCCGAAATCAGCTGTCCCTCCCACAGGAGGGGACATTATGATTATCATGATTTTTTCTCTCTGATTTTACATCAAAAGTACCTGTAACATTCAACATGAACTGCAGAGCGTGACTTCTTTGAGCTCAGTAAGGAGGCAATGGCCAATCTCGGCAAACAGGAAGAGGCTGCAGATGGAATTCCACCGTTGAACCAGTTCTTTAATAAAACTGGAACATGGTTAAGGAAACTGAATGGCAAAAGGTGTTATACAGCGCCAACAGGCCTGACCCTGTGAAGCCCTGAGCATCTTCAACTCCCCTTCTCAAGAGGGACTCATCACCTCTCAGGATTGGACCCTTGTAGGAACTCTTATAGGTTAAACACTTATTCTGAAAAAACTGAGCGATAAGATTAGGCATCGTTAATAACTAAAGAATTGACCATCTTATTCTTGTACAGCTATTCGCTTATTCAGTCTCAAACATTTTCGCAGATTTCTTCTGGGCAACAAATTGGGTCAGAAATACTAGCGTAAATTAGAGTAATTCCACTGTGAACACTGTAGCTACTCTCACCCCTAACTTATATCAGTGTCAGCGAGAGCCGAATCTCATGGACAGCCATAACGTTCCCTGTGTATCAACCTCTAAAAATATTCATTTCAAATCTTCTTTTAAATGTACAATGGCTATTTGATCAGGCGCCACATTAAAAGTAGGTGAGTCACACAAAGGACAAGAGTTGTCGCTAGCTCTCTAACTCCTAGATGCTAAGCAGTTCAGACGAAGGCAGAGCGCTTTTGCAGAATGCGACTCACCCATCCCCTTGGTGTGGTTGAAGTCTCCTTTCACCACTTTACAGGTTTTGCCATCTCCATTGCAGATTCCACAACGATCCTCTTTGGCAGCTGAGCCAATGATCCCATCGCAGCCGATTTTCTAATGACAACAACCAGAGCCCTCGTTATTTCATTTGCAAGGCTAAAATGTCTCTAAACTGGGCTGAGCCCCGGATAACATTTGATTGAAAAACTGAACAGGAAAAGAATGTTGCGAGTCAGGAGAGCATTCAGTCAGTACCGCATTGGATTGGTTAGTCAGCAAAACACACTCGTTCAATAGCAAATGCACAAACCATGTTATAAAAAGCTTCACTGTTGTAAGCAGCATCATAAAACCCTCGCTATCCAAAGCACATTGGTGTATTTGCACTAACGTGTTTAAATATTAACAGATTACAAGGATACTCTGTATTTTATAGCAGCTTCCATGTGAGGTTCTCAAATAACTTTACAAATATTAATTAATCTTCATAATACCCTTGTGAAACAAGTATATTCCAGGAGTCCCATTTTGGAAATGGGAAAAGAAAGGCATTGAGAGGTTCCGTGACTTGCCCAGATTCACACTGGAAGCTTAAGGCAGAGCTAGGAACAGAATCCAGGTATCCTGAGTTCCAGTTTTATGCCTTAACCCAGCGTTTCCCAAACTTGGGAGGCCGCTTGTGTAGGGAAAGCCCCTATCAGGCCAGGCCGGTTTGTTTACCTGCCGCATCCGCAGGTCCGGCCGATCGCGGCTCCCACTGGCTGCGGTTCGCTGCTCCAGGCCAATGGGAGCTGCTGGAAGTGGTGGCCAGTACATCCCTTGGCCCGCACCATTTCCAGCAGCTCCCATTGGCCTGGAGCGGCGAACGCGGCCAGTGGGAGCTGCGATCAGCCGGACCTGCGGACGCGGCAGGTAAACAAACCGGCCCGGCCCGCCAGGGGCTTTCCCTACACAAGCGGCGTCCCAAGTTTGGGAAACACTGCCTTAACCACAAGTTCCTCCAAGATTATGCTTGAGGTCCTGATCTATTGCTCACGGAAGCCAATGGGCATTGTATCAGGACTGCGCTGAGGACACCAACATTCAGTACTGAAGACTCAGCATCTATTACATTTTCACTATTTGAACTGAATGGCTCGGGATGCTAGCGCACAGGTCCACATTTTCAGCAGGTCCCATTAACTGAACACCAGAAACCCACATTTATGTTATCAAGAATTTAGGGTCACAATAAATGTATCCAGAATTTAGGTTCACTGATCTGTAAGTGCAAACTGCTGTATACACGCACAGATGTGACATTTTGCCAGTGCTCCCCCGGTATTCAGTTTTGACTTTTTTTGCACTTAAATGATCCCAAAAATATTTAAGTATTTAACCCAATGCTTCAGTTGAAAAGGCATTTGGATTGTAGTGATAGTCACGATTTTACATACATGCCTAAAGCAGTGACCACTAAAAATCTTTACCATTTCACCCCATAAGCAAACACTAGGAGATTGTGTGTTCTCCCTAATCCTTGCTCTCATGGTGGAACCCCGACGAAGGAGCCCCGACTTTGCGGCTTCAGACTTCATGCCAGGAGGCACGCTCCTTGACGACTCTGGCTGAGGTCTTGGGCGGGGGGGGTCTCCCCAGCCTGAGTCCAACAGGGGCCTCATTGCTTTCTCCATGAGGTGCTTCTTAACCTGGAGTTCTGGCACCTCGCAGGTCTGGTTTGGAACTGAGTGACAGATACTGTACGTAGTGGAGGTATGAGCTTCTCCAAGGCAGAAAAGACAGGGCTGGTGGTTGTTGCTGACTGAGAAGGAATGGGGGCAAGAGAGAATTTCTGAAGCCTGGTAATCCTGGGCATAATCTAAGTCAGGGGTCGGCAACCTTTGGCACGTGGCCCATCAGGGTAATCCGCTGGTGGGCCGTGAGACATTTTGTTTACGTTAACTGTCTGTAGGCATGGCCCCTCACAGCTCCCAGTGGCTCCAGTGGCCACGGTTCGCCATTCCCGGTTCGCCGTTTCTGGCCAATGGGAGCTGCGGGAAGCTGTTGCTTGCGTGGACCTGATAATGACAGATAGCACAACAGCCTTGACTGATACACAGCTTTCCTTGTAACTTGGCAGGAAGGCATATATTTTCAGCTGCATTTGAACAACCACAAGCAACTGGATGGATAAAGGAAATGTGGCAAGCACTTCAACCAACTTTATTGCGAGTGTTATGAGACCAGTCCACAGGACTGTAGAGGAGGAGCAACAACGCAGGGATGCAAAGGACCAGATCTCTAGATCTACACTGGGGTCCTTCATAGGGTGACCAGACAGCAAATGTGAAAAATCGGGACATGGTGTGGGGGTAATAGGAGCCTATATAAGAAAAAGACCCAAAAATCGGGACTGTCCCTATAAAATCGGGACATCTAGTCACCTTAGTCCTTCATAAACCTTAAACCACGAGGATGACGTAGGACAGCCAAGTAAAGATAAGGAGGGGACGGCTATGTGCTTTTCATGTTTTTAAGGCAAATTTCCACATAGGGTTGCTACCTAATTAATGCCCCATAAGTATGAGTCAGGCCATGTAGGATCGTGAAATAAATATCGAATGCGCCTGGATATGTCAATGTATTTCATATAGTAAGTACATAATGATAGTAATATAGACATGCTGATTCTAGCTCAGCTGACCAAATTACATAGAAGAATCATAGAATTATAGAAGATTAGGGTTGGAAGAGACCTCAGGAGGTTCTAGTCCAACCCCTGCTCAAAGCAGGAACACCACCAACTAAATCATCCCAGCCAGGGCTTTGTCAAGCCAGGCCTTAAAAACCTCTAAGGAAGGAGTTTCCACCACCTCCCTAGCTAACCCATTCCAGTGCTTCACCACCCTCCTAGTGAAATAGTTTTTCCTAATCTCCAACCTAGACCTCCCGCACTGCAACTTGAGACCATTGCTCCTTGTTCTGTCATCTGCCACCACGGAGAACAGCCGAGCTCCATCCTCTTTGGAACCCCCCTTCAGGTAGTTGAAGGCTGCTATCAAATCCCTCCTCACTCTTCTCTACATGCAGAACATAAGAAATTCTTTTAGTGGAGAGCTGATGAGGTACTTTGTTTTTCAGAATAATCAATTATACCCGGACCCAGAACCTTTCTGATGAGGGTTTAAGATGTGAATTACATCACGTACAAGTACTGCAATGTCAAGGAAAGGATGAAATCTTAGAGTAGCCAGGCTCTCACTATGTCAGAGACATGTTTGGAGTAGGGATGTACCTGGATTTCTGAGAGTTTAACCAATCACTTCAAAGGGAGCAGAGTTAGGCCAACGCTGACCGCTTAGGAAAATCCCACCTCTGGAGTACAGTCAACAAACTATCAGATGGGACCCAACCCACCTCTAGTCTAACGGGCACATTTTTATGGCAGGAGTTGCCCTGAAAATCAGAAAACACGGGACACACACGGTTAGGTGTTACCCTGCAGTATAAGGCATATGTGACGCACATGTTAATGACAACATCCATTAGAGACACACTCAAGATCTCCCGAAAAACAAAGGTGCAACAACAGCTTCATCATGGCCACGGACAAAAAGGGTGAGGAGCGACTCTACTGGAAGCAAATTGTGTTTCTTGGGCAACAGGCAAACCATTTCCCACACACCGACTACCTCATTTTGCTGTGATTTCAGACACCTCTTGATTTGTATGTTCCACAGGTCTGATAGCACAGAGGGTGAGAGTGGGCATGTCCAACACATCATAAAGTGCAAAGCTGATAAAGTAATTTTATGGGTTTCTGTCTTTCACTCATGCAGAAAAGAGGAATGTGTCAAACAGCATTGCTTCCCACCAGGCTCCTGCTGGAGGATTTAACGAACGAACGGCTCCCTCCTTCACCAGAGCAACATACAAGCATCGTCCTGTAGCAAGTGGAGACTACACTCGCAGCCCCCAAACCTCTTGCAGCTTTGAAAAGCATCTGCCATCTCAACGATACAAACATTCTCTGCTACACCTGGGAATCACAAACCACCTGGGATTTGGTCTTGTAAACTGTTGCTTAAAAAGCAGAATTTTTAAAAAAAAAAGCATAAAGCATTTTTTGGCTTCAGAATGAAAATTTCTGCATTCTCATTACTTTATAAGAGAAAAAAAACCATAGAAGCACTTTCTCCATCTGTATGAATATTATAGACCTTGCTGTTTGCTTTTCCTTCCCCATGCTTGCAAACTGCTTCCAAAATAAAAGAGGACTGAATCTTTTTTATTGTGAAATGGCTTATGTTAAGAATTTAGAGTGGTATTGCGAAAAGAGGCAAAAGTCACACTGAGTCTTGATGGGATTTCTGCTCCTAAATCATTTAGATGCTTTTGAAAAAATCCACCCTTATTGTTGCATTTAAAAACAAAATAAAAGAAGCAAAAACAGAACCAATGTCACTATCAATGGGAATGAAGAATCTCCCAAAGGTGTTTGCAGAAGTGGGCTCTTAATTGGCAGCATGTATCTTAAGCTTTGACAGAAGCTATGGAGCACTCTAGGGTTGGACGATACTGCTGGTTCATTTCATTGTGGCTGGATACTCTATGATCCCACCAATCTGAGAGAGAAATAAAAAGGAAAGGAAGTAACTTTGGCATGTTTTTACTCTGTATGCAATGCACAAGATGGTCCCCGCTGGAGAAGAGTGTACTCAAGCACCTGGATGTCTTCTGTATTTCTGGGGGAGGACAAAAACGGATGGTAATGCTGGTGTAAATACCATCGGCTCATCTGGAAGACCTCGTGGCTGACTTCTCCAGTATCAGCCCTGCTCTTGAAGCCCTCAGGATTCTTGCCCGTGGGGATTTCATTGTGCACGCTGACATCAGCACAGTACAGGACTTCCTTGAAGTGATGGACTCTGGACTTTGCCCAGTGGTTCTGGCTCCTGCTCAAATCGGTTGTTGAAAGCCAGAGGTGTGGCTGTGGTACTGTTATTATCACTTTGTACAGGGAATATGATGGAGGCCCCCTATTAAAAAAAAGTGCCTTGATATGGGAGCGGTTGCCAGCTGATTTTAAAATGGGGTTTAAAACCCTATGGGATGGGCACCTGACTATATTAGGC